GAAGGGCAAATGTGAGCCAAACTTATCCTTTCCATCAGAAGCCCACTCCCACAACAATGGCGTCAATCCATTCTACCTAAACAACTCTTAAAGGTCCTCTTTTTTTTTTTTTTTTTTGAGACAAGTCTTGCTCTGTCGCCCAGGCTGGAATACAATGACATGATCATAGCTCACTGCAGCCTCAAACTCTTGGACTCAAGCCATCCTCCTGCCTCAGCCTGCCGAGCAGCCAGGCCTACAGGTGTGTGCCACCACGCCCAGCTAATTTTTGTATTCTTTGTAGAGACAGGGTCTGGCTCTTGGTCAAGCTGGTCTCAAACTCCTGGCCTCAAGCAATCCTCCCACCTCAGCTTCCCAAAGTTCCAGGACAGGAGGGAGCCTCTGCACCCAGCCGGTGCCACCTCTTAATAACATCAGAATAGAAACTAAATTTCAACATGAGTTTTAGAGGGGACATTCAAATCACAGCACTAGGTAATCTGGTTTATGCATATTTATCTTCATTCCTTCACGGTCTTCAGCTCATCCACTAGATCTGAACTGACCCAAAGCCCAGCACTTTCCTTAATTCTAACAGATGAACAAAGCCAAAGTTCACAGATTCTAGTTTATTTATGGCTTAGGACTACCTACCTACCGTCACTATTGGACGTTAGTCCATTTTGGAGTTCATACCCTAAAGCAGAAACTCTGATGGCTGGAACATCATTTTCAGGAAAGATTGTTATTAGTGTATCATTTAGATAATCTTACAGAAGTCCCATTTGTTGTTTTGCTTTTTCTAAATAGCTGCTATTCTTATTTTTAGTTCACAAATGTGGTTAGTTTCACTTCAATATAAGTTGGTTGTGGGTTGTTTAACCTCACACTGTACAATTTCACGTATCTGTAACAACAGTAGTTTGGGCCTCTTACATTCTAATAATTAAGACTTTAAGCTGTGTACACATTGCAACTCAAGTATGAGTGATGCATCACCCAATCACTGAGAGACAAGAGGGAAAGCCCCTCTCCCCTAAAACTTTTACAGAGGTTCTTGGTTCTTTTTCCACTGAAGTGAGAACAAATCAGCTAATGGGGAACATGAGGTGCTTCAGCCCCCAACTTCGAGAACCACTGACCTCTGGTCTCTAGCAGAGGCCATCTTCCCTTCTATTCCAGGGTCACGACCCAGATGGTGAGCTGGGCAGCAGCTGTCCACTCTCCAGAAATCCTGCCTTGAGGCATGTTTTCCTGCCTGAGCACCTTCCTTCTCTCAGATGATCAAAACTGGGACTGTCCACTCCCTTATGAGCCACCTCTGTTCAGGCCTGGGGCCGTGCCCGCCACTCTCAACAGGACACCCCTCAGAACACCCTGCAGGAAGCCGACATCTACACGCAGGCTCGCACCGCCCTAGGTGTGCACAGGGCTTTGGTTCTAGCTTAGGTGTAGAGGGAGGCTCGAGCACCGGTGACAGAGTCACGTGAAAGGAGCCCAGGTTACAAGTGATGCAAAGACACGAGACCTGGCAACGCAGGCAAACCCCTCCAACTCGCCGTGCGTAACAGGGACAAGAAGCAAGGTCATTCTGTGCCGACAAGAGGGAAAGGGAAATTGCAGGCATACCTTAGTGTGTGTTTGGTTTCAGATCACACAAATTTTTTAGTTTTCCAGTATACATAAAAGTTATGTTTATACCACACCGTAGTCTAGTAAGTGTACAAAAGCATTGTCTAAAAAAACTATGTACATACATTAAAAAATACTGTTTTAGAAATGCTAACAATCACCTGAGGCTTCAGTGAGTTGTTTTTGCTGGTGGAGGGTCTTGTCTCAGTGTTGACGGCTGCTGACTTACCAAGGCTCATTGGTGAAGGCTGGGGTGGCTGCGGCAATTTCTTAAAAGAATGAAGTTTGCTGCACAGATTGACTACGCCTTTCACTTGAACACTGCGGGGTTACTAACTGGCCTAACTTTAGCATCGTTGTGTCTCAGAGAATAGGGAGGCCAAGGAGGGCAGAGCTGGAGGGACGGCTGGTTGGTGGAACAGTCACCACACACACATTTATCCACTAAGTCCGCATGGGCATAGTTCATGGTGCCCGAAAACAATTACAGTAGTAACTTCATCGTCGATGACAGATCACCATACCAAGTATAATAGTGAAAAAGTTTGAAATATTGCAAGAATTACCAAAATGTGACAGAGACATGAAGTTGAGCACATGCTGTTTGAAAAATGGCAACAATAGACCTGCCGGACACAGGGTTGCCACAAACCTTCGATTTGTTTAAAAAACCACAGTATCTACAAAGAGCAATAAAGTGGAACACAATAAAAAGTATGTAAAGGGGTAATCAGTGCTCAAGCAAGATCAGTATAACCTGTCAGGCAGACCAACCAGCTGTGGAGCCTTGAGCTCTGGCCCAGAGCTGGCCCAAAAGACACCTGCCCAATGAGCAAGTGCTGAATGGAACTATCTGAGCCAGTTTCCTCGTCTGCAAGGCAGTGGTATAATTCCTACCTTGCAGAGTTGAGAGGAATAAGACAAGACAATGTTAAGAAAGACACAAGACCTGTGGTAGACTGGCACCAACATTCTACAGCAAGTTCTGCCTAAACTGGCAGGAACACTTTTCGCATCAGAATAATTATTCTAGACTCATCTGGCCACAGCCAGGTTGGCAGGGAGGAGGGGGCAGCAGAGCAGGCAGGGTAGGGGCCTGGACAGGGCCGGGCACTAAAGCAAAGCCAAGGCCTGGAGGGAGCCAGTTCCTGGTGGCTGCTGGCAGCTCAGACAGCTCCCTGCCTCACCTGCCATGGTCCCCCCTCTGCCCTGGCTCTCTTGGGGCTGTTGCCTTCACCTCTTACAGCCCACCTGTTCTCTGGTACCCCAGGCTCCTGGGGTTACTGCTTCTAAAACCCCAAGGCAAGCACAGAAGAGATGACCAGCTCCAGGGGTAGTGGGAAGACAAGGTCTCCTCCCAGGGTAAATGGCAGAGGGCAAGGCATGTGAAGAATTTAGACTGGGGGGAAATCCCCTCAATCCCACCCTGCACCACACCCATCCCTGCAGCTCCAGGGCTAGTCCCAACTCTCAGCTCCCAGTGCCTGCTCACCCCCATCCCAGTCCAGACCTCAGGGCTAGGCAGGGCACGGTGGCTCATGCCTGTAATCCTAGCACTGGGAGGCCGAGGCAGGATGATCACTTGAAGTCAGGAGTTCTCACTTGAGGTCAGTTGTTCAAAACCAGCCTGATCAAGAGCAAGACCTCGTCTCTACTAAAAATAGAAAAAATTAGCTGGGCATGGTGGCATGCGCCTGTAGCCCCAGCTACTTGGGAGGCTGAGGCAGGAGGATCGCTTGAGCCCAGAAGTTTGAGGTTGCTGCGAGCTAGGCTGACACCAGCGCACTCTACCCCAAGCGCCACAGGCAACAGAGGGAGATCGTCTCAAAAACACACACAAAAAAGACAGACCTCACGGCTCTTCCACACAACACAGTCCACAGAGTCCTTGAACAGGAATCCCCTGACAATTTCTTAGGGGGTAGGGACAACCGGTCCTCTTTCCAGTGACCCCATATCCTTGTCCTTGTCCAAGGTGTCCAGTTATAGCCCCTGGGCCAGTGATCTCTATCTGTCCTCCAGAGCCCTATGCAGGGAGCTACCTGGGCTTCTCAGTACAGGTGGCCTTACACTAACAGGGTGGAAGAAGGGAAGGGAGGGTAGAATCCCCGACTTCCAGCCAGACCCTGCAACACAGCTTCCCCGGGGCCTCGGCCCCCTGCCCTGGCCAATACTCCCTCTCCAGTACCCTCTCACCCAGGGTCCCGGCTCCAGCACACAACTGAGCTGGCCCAAGCTGAGGAGTTGCTGGAGCAGCAGCTGGAGTTGTACCAGGCCCTGCTGGAAGGGCGGGAGGGAGCTTGGGACCCCACGCCCTGGTGCTCAAGATCCAGAAGCTTAAGGAACAGATAAGGAGACCCCTAAGCTTCCCACCAGTTCCCACGTCACCCTTCCACACTGGAAATACTGCACACCACCCCCTAGGGGCCCTGCAGTCAGAAACATCCCAGTCTCCCACGGGCCACGGAGAAAATGGAAGAGACCTCTAGGAAGGGGCAGAAATTGGCAGGCAGTAGGGAGCCAGGGCCTCTGCAGTCTTAGTCCCATCTCCCCTTTGACCCCACCCACTGACCTTAATCCACAGCAGAGAACACTGTCCTCACAGAATTTTACTCTGGATCAGCCCTAAAATAACCTCACCACAAATACAATAAAGGGAAGGAGCACTCACAGATTCCACAGACACACATGCGTTTCATTTTTAGTTTTGTTAAAAAAAATTCTGACAAATCAGGAAATGGGGGTTTAGGAGTGGTGGTGATGCAGAAGAGGGAAGCCACGTGGTGGGGGCGGGGCTGTCAGGGGCAGGTGGCAGTAGTGTCTCCTTCACCCCCACGCCTGGTATCCTCTCCTGAAGGACAGACTGTCACATTCCAGAATGGGTGAGTCCTCTACCGTGTCTGTTCAACTGAGGAGAAAACATGGCGCAATCAGACTAAGGCACAGAAAAGCAACGCGAGGCAGGAATTCGCGCACACATGTAGATGTTGGTGTGTGGTGCTAATTGAGAGGAAAGACTTGGGGGTGGGGAAAGAGAAATGATATGAGAAAAGAATGAGACCCCACAAAGAGGTAAAAAAAAAATCCCGACGCAGCATCAAGGGGAGGGGAATGATGAACTGGTCAAGTGCCCATCATGCAGCAGGCGCCCGCTGTCCACACGATGGGCTTTATGACAAACACACTAAGGAACAGGGAGAACTAAAGGGTTTCACTCAATCCATACTCACTGTAGGAGGAGATGTCTATCTCATCGGGCAGCTCACTAATATTGACCTCAAAGCGATCCTGCACATCATTGAGGATCTTGGCGTCATTCTCATCTGACACAAACGTGATGGCCAAGCCCTTGGTGCCAAACCGGCCTGCTCTGGCCACCTGGAAGGAAACAGAGTAGGACTGGAAAACCCAGAAGGAAGACACCCAGAGGCAGGGATGAAGATGTAAGGTATGCAAAGACAGAGAAAATAAAGGGTTGGGAGAACAGGATGCTCTTTGGGTGTGGGGGCTTACCCGATGCAGGTAGGTGTCAGAATCCTCAGGCATGTCGTAGTTAAAGGCAATGTTCACCCGCTCGATGTCCATGCCTCGGCCAAATAGGTTGGTAGCCACAAGAATTCGTCGTTGAAAATCTTTAAATTGCTGATACCGAGAAAGCCTTTGTGAGAAAAGAAATTTTAAAAAGGTTGAGATTCATTCTCTCAATGGTCTTTTTCTCCCAAAGACACAAAACATCTCCCATCTCCAACTCACCTCTCCTCCTGGGGCATCCCACGGTGGATGGCAATGGCTGGGAAGTTCTGCTCCACCAGGAGCTGGGCCAGGGCAATGCATCGCTGCACAGACTTCACGAAGATCACCACCTATGTGTGTGTGTGAGGGGTGGATGGGAGAACGTGGGTCCACGGTGTGGGAGAGACAGAGATTATGTGTGAGAAGAGTTTCTAGCAATGACACTCTTCTGAAGGAATTCCTCTTCAACCCTCTTATTCCCTACCACATATTTCCTCTTCTGCTCTAAATGTAACTTGGTCTTCCTCTCAGATCTGATGTTCCTGAGCAGACTGGCCTTTGAGAAGGTGCAGAGATCAGTAACCAAAATTGCCAGACTTGTCAGGAGACAAGGATGAGGCCACCTCATGACTACATGACAAAAATCAGGACTAAGATCTGAAAAAACATGACTTATATTTCTGCTCACCAAAACACTAATCCTAAGGGACCTACCCTAACTCTAGAAAGTAGTTTTTAATTCAAAGAGATCATATAACAGCTATATTGATGAAACGCTTCTTAGTACTAGAATAAACAGATTTAAGAACCCTAACATGTCCAAAATAGTTCAAGATTTTTGCAAACTCACTAAAACCCTTCAAGGATTTTATCTTTTGAAGTTTATTTTCCTTGAGGTTTTCACTTATTGAGTACCTATCTGTACCAGCCACAGAACAGAAAAGCAGCCTCTGCCCTGCCCGTGCTCAGTCCCCAAAAACACTCATACGCTCATCATTCTCTCCCACGTCACATGTGGTTTCCCCAATAAATGGGTGCTTCATACACAGGTGTCTGCTACAGCTGGAGATGTATCCAGTGCTCATCCCCCTACTGGACCTTGAACAACTGACCTGGTTGAACTCAAGGACATCTAGAAGGTCAAAAAGCTTCCGGTTCTTCTCGTTGTCCTTCAGTTTCACGTAGTACTGCTGCAACCCATGCAGCGTCAACTTCGTCTCATCATCCACGAAGATCTCCATTGGCTGAGGGGGAGGAAGGGGGTAGGGAACGGGAGGAGGGCAGAGTGGGGGGGTTAAACCTGGGGGGGTGGAGGAAGTTGTTCTCCAATACACCCCATGGGGGGATGGGGAGGAGAGAAGATTGAAAACCCCATCTCACGCCCAAAAACACCCACATTTTACTGTGGTCTCTTTTGCATTAGATCTAATTTCCTTCCTATCAGTTGAGTTTTAAGAATGCCCAACTGAAAACTGTTACGGGAAAGAAACTTTGCAAAGGAAGTAAAGGAGCAGTGAAACCACCTGATGGCAAGATGCCATTACCTCAAATGGAGGTGGTGGAGGAGAGAAAACAATGGGAGATAATTCTCAAAAGAGACCATTTCCAAACATCTGGGAAATGCTCGGAAACAGTGACTCAAGGTCAGAATAACTTCAGAAGAGCTGGTTTTAAGAACATGGGGAAGAGGATAAGGAGTGCTTCATTTGATTCTCCTAGCTCAACTAGGAGTACTTTACGCACATTAGAGAAGTGGACATCTTTTAGGATCAGAATGTTGTAATGGACATGATCAAAATGCCACATAAGGGGAAGCAGAAATTGCTTAAGGTGAGTAAGAACCTGCCCTCAGACCACAGGGAATAGTTTTAGATGAGCCTGGTCTCTGGACTAAGTCAAACCATCTACAGGTTTATAAGGAAAATATTGGTAAATGATGTTAAAAAACAAATTCAGAGCAATAGATATGCCTATGCATTCATCTTTTTTAAGAGACAGGGCCTTGAAATATTGCCCAGGCTGGAGTGCAGTGGCTATTCCCAGGAGAAAGCATAGCACACTGCAGGCTCAAATTCCTCGCCTCAAGTGATCCTCCCACCTCAGCCTCCCAAGTAGCTGGGACTACAGACACACCTGTCAGCATTCATCTTTAAATTAAAAAACAAAAACAAAAAACAACCCTTGAAGGGGAGGAAAGTAGCATAAAAAAGACAGAAATTGACAAAACCCCAAAGCCCAGCATTCCTAACACTCTTCATACTGTCTTGGGGGACACAGTTAACATGAAGATCCAGGGGCCAAAATGAGAAAGAATGTGTGTGTCATGGGAAAAAACAGAAGCCCAAGCCCAGAACACAGGCTAGCAAGGTAAGCTTTCTAAAGAGAAGTTCCATGGCCTCCTTCAAATCTAATTCTAGCCCCAAGTACAGCTTAAAGATAAAGAGTTATCATCCCATGGGAAGGAGCACTGCAGGGAGGGGAGGAACACACTCCACTGCTTATACAAGGGGCCCCAGCTAGCCCCGAACCCTAACACCAACCTGGTTATATCCACTTTACCTTTCCCATATCCCTCTCCTGAGTATTAAAAAAAAAAAATTTAAAGAAAAAAAAAATCCACCACCCCATTCAGGACACCCCTCCCCAACACATATGAGGGGAAACAAGGGGCACAGCACGCGTCGGGTTCAGGAAAAAAACCGGGAACAAAAAAGAGGCTGGTATGGTCCTCAGCTTCCTGGGCAGGTTTCCCCGCGGCCTCCGCTGCCGCCATCCACCGCTGGGTGCCGTCCACATTCTCTCGCTGCGCCACGGTGCTTCTCTGCTGCTGGCTCACGTCAACCGAGGTTCCAGGTAGGTGCAAGGAGGTTCGGGCAGGAAGGAGTAGGGGATCGGGGATCGAGGTGCCAAAGGCCCCCACCCCTGGAGGTGGGGAGGAGGAGGATTCATCTGTGCTGTTTGCTCTTCTTTTGGACATGCCCTGTCATCTGTCTGTCCCTCTCTTGCTCTCCTGCCACCGTGAAGTATGAGTTTTGGTGAGCAGAAGGCTCCAGTTGTATGCTCGATGCCACCTTGAGGGTGCGTGGTTGTAGGGGGCATGTAAGAGACGATGATGGGTGGGTGGTAGGGCAGAAAATCCTGCCCTCCCCCAAAAGGGAGAAGAGGTTCAAAAATGCTGTGATTTTTAAAAAAGTCGAACACTACCCGCTCTCATGTTAACCCGACCAAGTCTTCCGGAGTTTCCCTGGCACCCGCGCAGACCCTAACGCTAGCTGTCTCTGCTTCTGTGTGTCTCTTCAGGGAGTCATCACTCTGAGATCGGCACAAGCGCCCTTCTTGGTGCTTGAAGGACAAGGGAGTCTGGAGGAAGGGGGCGAGGAAGGGGAGGAGGCAGCGGGCAGGGAGTGGAGGGAGAGAAGGTAGAAGGGTATTTACATCTTGCATGAACTTGCGGCAGACTGGACGGATCTCTTTGCTCAAGGTAGCACTGAACATCATGACCTGCTTCTCATGGGGGGTCATGCGAAAAATTTCCTGGACATCCCGACGCATGTCTACAAGAAAAAGGAAAAAAAATACAGGAGAAAATAAGCATGTGTGATAAACAAGGATCAGAGGTAGACTGCTCAGTGAGGTGAAGACTGCTGGAAATGGATAAGCAAGAGCGTCACTTCAGGGACTTCTCCAACCCCTACAAAGTCAAATCCATGGTAGTAACATAATGGAACCAACAATGGATTTGGAGTAAAGATTTGCAATCAGCTTCCAGCTGTGTGTTTTAACCGGGCAAGAAATATAAGAAACCCCAAAGCCCACAACAATAAAATGGGGATGAAGCCCACTGCAGAGGCTCACGCCCCTTCTCCCAAACCCTCTCCCTGCAAGCCCCAGCCTCCAGCAGTCTACAACATCAAGCAGTATCACATTCTACATGTTCCACTCTATGCCTCGTCTGGATCACGCTTTCTTGTCCAGTCAGGCAAATACAGCATCTCTACCCAGAGCCTGCCTCACAGCTTGCCCTTCTGAATCGCCAAAGACCTTTTACAAAGAATTCCTTCCTTCCTTCATACACAGGTGTCTGCTACAGCTGGAGATGTATCCAATGCTCATCCCCCTACTGGACCTTGAACAACTGACCTGGTTGAACTATGTCCATCCATCCCACTCTCCCATTCACCAACATTCAATTCTCACAGAAAAGTCTTCCCCTACTAACCTCACTTGGCATACTAGCATACCATGCCCCACAAACTCACACCAACACACTCCACGTTAATCCCAGAAGCAAGCATAGAAACCTATCCAGCTATGAATTCTGACCATATACGCTGTGCTGGGGATGCCAGAAAGGTAAACTGTCTTCTCTGTGGGTTTAGTATCTCCCCTATGACTCTCAGTATAGGAAGACTCTATAAAGGAAAAGATGGGGGAGTGGGGGTGGTGACTTATATCTAAGATTATCAAAGTTTCCTACTCTCAAAGGTAAAGAAACATCTATCATAAAAAGATGACACCCTCCACTCTTTCACCAAGGTTGCTTAAAAGCATAACAAAGCCCGACCAGGGAGCCATCAGTCATGGGTGATAGATAAAAGTCGTCCTTGCACCTACGTGCTCCTGCACCAGATAAGCATCATTTGGCTCCAAAGGGCAACTCCCCAGACCATCAGCCCTGTCCCAGCACTGCCACTCACCGAGCTGTTCAAGCATCTTATCACATTCATCCAAAATAAAGTGTTTAATGTGTTTGAGGTTGAGGCTCTTATTTCGAGCCAGGGCTAGGATGCGGCCAGGAGTCCCCACGACGATATGCGGGCAGTTCTTCTTCAGCACCTCTTCATCCTTCTTGATAGACAGACCACCAAAAAACACTGCGACCTGCCGAGCCAGGAGAAGAGAGTTTCATAGGAAGGAAAAGAGTCCAATCTCCCCAGTGTTCCTATTTTCAGTTTGAGCTCAATCAGTGCTTAGGACACTTCGGAACTAAAGGAACTTTAGAGATCACCACATCTAAAATTCTTATGTCCCCCCGAACATTGAGGTTAAGAAACAAAAGTGACTTGCCCAAAGTAACACGGATAACTGGGGCAGCCAGGACTAGCATTCGGTTCTTCCGACTTAATCTAACCATCTTCCTGCACTTCACTTATAAGGCCAGGCTTGATTTTAAGCATAACGACAGCAAGAAATCAACCAAAGGAGTGCAAAGTACCACAAAAACTACATGGAACATCAAGTTGTCCTAACGGAACCCCAGAATCTTAAACTCCTTCACACAAACCCTGTGAAATTACTGATTCAAGCTAAATATTATCTAATGCTCCATGTTAAAACTACTAAGCGAATGGATGTTAAGGATCTGGGCCTGGGTACAGTATCAAATAACATCACAAACTACCTTCTAGTTTCAAGGAAAGAACAATCAAGGAATCACTGTCATGACCCTAATTCTACGGTAAATCTAAAATCACTAATGGTGGGTCAACCAGATTTGTGGCATAACAAGAGGTACAGCAACACCTATGAAGGATTCTTGCCAAAAATGTTTGACCTGAATCAGTTAAGCTTTCAAATACAAATTTCAATTTAAAGGAAGTACTGGGGGAAAGAACAAGCTAAATGACACAATAAGGAAGTAACCAGACAAATCCAGAGTAGGATATTCTGTAGAACTGGCCCAGTCTTTTCCAACAAGTCACTGTAACATAATTTTGAGCCAGAGTAAGGAAAGTAATAAGTAATGACAATTCATATTTGATCTTGACACCAAGAACGTTTTCTTTTGAGTGGCACAAGGGAGATGAGTTGGACCCACAGAGCAGGAATGCAACTTAGCTCACCACTGAGCACAATAATAAATGCTTCCATAGTTATAACAATGGAAACTGTTTCCTGGCTTACAACTTTTAAAATCAACCCACAGATAAGACTGCAAGGTCTTAGGACCAGGTCAATCTATTGACCGACCACGTAAAAACAGAGATACGTATAACAGTATCAACACATACATACACGTGGCCTTTAGATCATATTTAAAGAGTTAAAATAGTTTTCAAATGGGAGGAAGACTACTGTAAACAAACTATTTCATGAAAAGTAAAAAAGGCATATAAGTTGATAAATTGAGAATCTAGTGCTTAACACTTGGTAACACAAAGCCCTCAGAACTTAAAAAAAGTTAAGTGATCACCTTCTATGATGCAGGATTAGAGACGGGAGAACACAAATTTTTTTATTATTAGGCCTTCTAGATTTAAGTATTTTACCATGCATAAGTATTACTACTTAGTTTAGATTTTAAGAAATTATTTTCGTTTAGGACTATGACTCGAACATTCCCGGTTCCTTTAAAATGTAAAGTAATAAACAACAGAAACAAAAATTACAACAATCTGAATAAAAGTGTTCTTCACCCCACCCTAGCCAGGATTGGATGTTATATACACCAGTGCTTCTCAAACTCCAATTACATAGGAATCTTGTTAGAATAAATATTCAGACTAGTAGGTCTGGAGCAGGACCCATGTAATCTGCATTTCCACCAAGTTCCCAAATGGTGCTGAAGCTACTAGTCTGGGAAGCCCATCACGAATATCAAGGTTACATAATGGAAAAACAACTCATATTAACTCTGTTGTGACCCCCAAACATCATTCAATTTTCTACCATTTTAAAGACTCCTCAAAATTCACATACCACACTGGAGCTATTTTAGAGCTTCCAACTTTCTCTTGCCACACACCCTAAAATTCCCAAACTGTTAACCAAAGCACAGTGAAATGACTCTGTGAAGTAACAAGAAAAGGGTGGCCGGGAGCGGTGGCTCAAACCTGTAATCCTAGCACTCTGGGAGGTCAAGGCGGGAGGACTGCTTGAGCTCAGGAGTTCGAGACCAGCCTGAGCAAGAGCAAGACCCCGTCTTCATACACACACGCACAAATAAATAGAAAGAAAAGAAAAAGGTGGTCTTGCGGTAAGCATCATCCACAGCCAAATCATGAATTCTCATGCTGCACAGGCTTTATTACACTATGTGTTAAACCACGGCAAACTAAAACTTCTCCAAAATTAAAACTTAATAAGCCTCTCTGAAATTAGAATGCATTTCCAAATGAGTCCCACATTTTAGTAAAATCTCTTGAACACCCAAAACTTGTAAGAACTGTTTGTCAATTACACGTACACTGAGGTATGGGTATTTAACATTTGTGGGTCACAGAGTCTGTTGACCAACAAGTTTCTGATGCCTCCAACTTGCCATACCCTCCCTCTCCCAGGTCACTTTACCTTGGCTTACCTTGACATTGGGCATGTATTTAGAGAAGCGCTCATATTCCTTGCTTATCTGAAAAGCCAACTCCCGAGTGTGACACATCACCAGCACAGACACCTTAGGCAGAAAGTAGATGGAGACAGACGTAAGGCATATCCCTTCATTATCCCCTCCAGGGAAGTGATGTCACAAAAGCACACTTAGTATTTAACAACTGACTCCAATACCGTGATCTAAATCATTAACCCCATGCTTACTAGGGAACATTCCCCACAGCTGTCAGGCTGTCAAGGGTGACAGAGGTCATCTCAGTGAGAAGTGCTTACGGCTCTGAAAGCACGTAGCTAGGACAGAAACACATTTCCCATATATTCCTAACTTTCCCCAGCATTCTCCCCAAGTATACCTGCCCAGTAACCGGCTCCAGCTGTTGCAGTGTGGCCAGCACAAACACTGCTGTCTTTCCCATGCCTGACTTGGCCTGGCACAGGACATCCATTCCCAGAATGGCCTGAGGGATGCACTCATGCTGGACTAGACGTAGAGGGGAAAAAAGATAAATTAAGACTTCAGTCTCCAGATAACTCTACCAACTTTTTCACCATACAAAACCCATTTCTCAAAGTACAATATTTATCTGATTCTTGGCAACTTGCAGACCCCTTGTACCTGTCTCTGCTCCCTCAATTACATTCACCCTAAAAATCAGACTCTCCTAGTTCCTTCTAGCTTTATCCTTCTCAAGGTCCAGGCCTCCTCAGTCCTGATAACAATCCCCTTGCATCTATCAACAGCTCACCTTCGGTACTCCTGGCTCTGTCCTTTTCCTTAACCTGTAACTTGCGACATCTGAGTGCCTGTCACAGGCCATTTCTCCTACTTAGATTGCCTTGCTTTGGGTCATGTAACCCTGCAACCTTGGACAAAATGTAAGATGTGGTACCTGAACCAGAAGCCAGTCATTTTTAAACTAGTCATAAAGGCTTCCAGAGACCAGAACAGGCCTGGCCCAACAGAGGAGGGACTAAAGATTGAACCAGGCCCTTTCTGGAAATTTGAAATTAGAAGTCAAATGACAAAATTAAAAGCATGCAGAAAAGAAGCCAGTCACAAGAACTAACAGCAGACCTATTACTTGATTTTGGATCATTATCCTTTTGATGCAATCATGAATAAAATACTAAGCCTATATAAGCCTCTTCTATCACTAAAATTGGTTTTGATACCTTAGTTTCTGATCTATCCTAAACATAAATCTTTACCACCTGAGAAAGAACAAACACATCTTTTTCTTGTATCCTTAAAGAACCTACTAAGCAGTCTACGCCCAACAGAAAATTTACCTTCTGATGGATGCTCAAAGCCACAGTCAACAATGGCCCGGAGCAACTCTGGCTTGAGCAGAAAGTCACGAAAGCCAGAACTGTGGATGGAGACGTAGGAGCCCTTGACATCCTTCTTGGCAGGGGCCTCAGCCCCATCACCCCCAGCTGCTGTCTCCACCTCATCGTCTTCATAGTCCAAGAGCTCATTGTCTACATCGTTCTCTGCCATAACTGGGCCAGTAGGGGGAGAAGGGGAGGGGGCTCTGGATGGGTTCTCACAGTATAGGTGAAAACAAGGGGGAAAGAGAGCGGGGGACGGCTTGAGGAGCAGCAAAGGAAAAGAAAGATACTAGTTTCTGACAGAAGAGCTAGGGATAAGAAAACAAATGGAAGACTTATCAGTCATGAGCAGAGCCTTCACCACCTTTTTCCATTCCCACACTGTTCCCACTTTCCCTAAACTATGAAACCTTTACCTGGGCAAAAAAGTAACAAAGAGACACAAAAGATCAATGCGAAAAGCATCTGTAATAGAAAAAGTTGTCCCACCGAAAGTGTTTAGGACACAGGTTCTCAAAAAGACTAGCATCACAGTACAGAATCCAGGAAGTTGGAAAAGGAAGATCAACTTATAAATTCCTGATCTAAGTGACAGTAGTGAAGAAAAAGAATAGATGATGAAAAGTAGAATATGACTAATGACCTGGGGGAGTGGAAAAGATGAAGAGAGTCCTGCAAAATCCTCAAAGGAAGACTTTAGCTTTCCCTATAATCCCACAATGTGGATCCCTAAACTCAGCAGCCATCAGTCAAGGGTGATAGATCAAGGTCATCACTGCGCAAAGCGCTCACTTCTCAAAATAAAAACATCATATGGCTGCCGTCCACTTCCCACAGCTCTCAGCCTCCCACTCTTCGGTACCTTCCTTTCGCTGCTTAAGAAATCCCTGTGTAATTAATGAGGGTAGGGAAAGTAGTGTAAGAGAAACGGCTCGGTCGCAAAAAAAAAAAAAAAAAAATCATCTCTCCACCCTACCACGAGTAAGAAACAGTTGAGAGACATTTCCCGCCCCGGCTTTAACAGAACCTTTACCAAGCGGTTTCACATTGGTTGCGCTACTCAGGTGAGACTCCTTCCCGAGAAACGCGCAATGGCACCGCTCCTAAACATTTGGAAAGCGCTTCAAATAAGGCTGGTAGCTCGGGGTGAGAAAATTAAAACTGGGCCCAAAATTCGGCTCCTCCTCCTGCTAGTCCCACTGTGGGCCAAGAGGAGAGGGAAAGTGAGAAGAGCCCCGCCCTCCGCAAATGCCTAGGACCAGGGGGCGCCTAGCGCCGCCTCTCGTTGACGCTGGGGACTCCGACACGCTAGGGACCCACTGGAGGAGCCGGGAGTAAAAAGAACACAATGGCGCCAGGGACACCATCTTGGATTTGCCCCCCCACCAGCTTTCCTTCTTCCCCCCAGGAGCTCTTTGCTCTCAAAAGGGGTGCAAGCTGTGGAAATAACGACCAAACTAGGCCCCAGCGACCAGGCCATCGCCTGTGAAAGGGATATTAGGAGCCCATGTGACAGGATGGATGCGAAGAAGCGAAGATGGAGATGGATGGTAGAGAAGGCCGAAGCTTACCTAAGCAGGGCGAGAGCGTATGGCGGCAGCAACAGCGACGAAGGAGGGAATCTGCCTTCACTTCCGGTTCCCAGCTTCCCTCTACCCTGGCCTCCCGCCTTCTCGGCTGCCAAAGCGCAGGCGCAAGGGACCGGAAAAAGGACCTTCTGCGGTTTTATAGATCCGTAGGCTCCGCGCTTGCCTTTTGAAAATGCCTGTCTGAAATTTTTTTTAAAACCACCTCTAACATCTTTGCTAGAGCCGGTAACAAAAGGCATAAAGGAAACCAACATCTTCTTCCACTGTTATCGTTATTCTCTCGTCCTCCTCTTCTCCACTCCCGTCACCTCTTCCTTTAGGTTTTTGCCACGCAGGTGTTCTCTCTGGGCACCCCTCCAAGTTCGCGCGAGCAACGAGGGTAGGGAGAACTGCGAGTTCCCACGGGGTCCTTGGCCCGTAGTCAAGGTGACCTGCCGGCGGCTCGGCTCGCGCTAGGAAGTGGCGCTTCCGAGCACCGAGGCAGAAGGAGGCGAGTCTCAGGGAACTGGAGAGAGCTGTGCTACGAGGTTCTGCCCCTACTCTTTCCCAGCCGTGGGGACCGTGTACGGCATTTACCCAAAATGATGTTGGCCGGTGTAGCTGATGCCCCTGGGCCAGTTAGCAGCTGTGAATCAGGAAGGTGTTCTGAATCCCCCCAGTGGAAGACAGGGTCTGAATTCTGCCCCAAGTGTTAAAAATAAATAGCAGGGCTTGAAGGTTATACAACATTCCATAAATACTGTTAATTCGAGCCGAACGTTCTTAGCCCGAGTCCAACGGCCCCATTCATTGTTCAGCCTGGATTTTTTCCTGAATGAAACATTTGACATCCCACTCTTTGAGATGCTTACGGAAGTCAGACGTGATGTCCTGCTGCTTAATAAAAACGACAAATATTTGGCCTTTTCCCTGTTAGCACAGTTCACCACTTAATACTAAGGAGAAGCTACCATTATTCCCATTTTGTAAACAAACAGAGAAACAAATCAACATATCCAAAGTAATACAGCTGGTGAGGGATTTACAGCCAAAATGTAAACACCTCCAATTCTCCATTGTATCCTGCCTCCCTCTTAAAGAATCTGATTAATGGTGATATGTGGTGGCTCAGGACTGTAATCCTGTAATCCCAGCACTTTGGGAGGCAGAGGGGGTTGGGTTGCTTGAGGCCAGGAGTTCCAGAGCAGCCTAAGGAACATAGTGAGACACTTTCTCTACAAAAAATTAAAAAAATAATAATTAGCGAGGTGTGGTGGTGCGTGCCTATGGCCCCAGCTACTCTGTAGGTTGGGGTCGGAGGATCACTTGAGCCCAGGAGTTGGAAAACCTCTCTCTACAATAAAAATATAAAGAATGTGGTTAATAAATACACTATGGTTTACCTCATTGGTTCATGTCCTTGATGAAGCAAGCTTGTCTTCCATGAGAAAGAGAAATAACTGATCCAAGGATGGAGTCATAGAAGGGCTGTTTTCCCAACAGTAATAATTTATTTAACAGTATTTGTCAACTGCCTACCCTGTGCCAAGTGCTATCCTAGGATCTGGGGAAAGAGCAGTGAACAGCCCAATCCTTACAGAGTTTACATAACAGGGAGACAACACACAAATGCAAATATAATGTCAAGTAGCAATAAGTGCTATGAAGAAAAACAAAGCAAGGTGAGGGGGCAAAGACTACTCGTTCCTACACTGCAGCAACTTTACAGTTGCCATCTATAGTCCTCGGGTTCCCAAATGAGGAACCACATGTTTCTAACTTCAGAAAAATAAAATACTACTTGCTCTTGTTTCTCTAACAAGTTTCAAAGGGCAGCCATTTGGGGTGTTTGGGGAATATATAAGCAAGGAACAAGAGAGTGAATGAAAGTGAGAAATGATGAGGCAAAAGAAGGCTGTTTCAACCCACCAATTTGTTTGCTCATGATTATTTTATTGACACTTTTTTATTGTTACAAAGGGAAAGTACAGTGTCAAGGATGTACAAGGGAAGGCCATGCATATGAGGGGACCCAGCATCACCTTAGATCTTAGGAAGCAGTGAGCATCTGATGGGTCTTTGGGGAAATAGGAAAAGGGGAAAATCCAGCAAAGAGCAAGACTAGCATAAGAGAAACAAAAAGGCCACAAGATGCAGTATCTACCTGGATCCACAATAGAGGGGTAAGTGAAGTCATGATTTCATCTTTTTGGAGATTATAAAGTGTCTGGGAAAAGAGATGGGGGAAGAACCAATTCTTCAGAGAATTATCAGGGTCACAGCATGAATGAGTGGAATTAAAGAGCCACTGATGAAATTGAGGAAACAGCTATATAGGTTCTAGCTGGTGAACGGGAGTGGTAATAATATCACACGGTTGCCCTTTATTGAATCACAGCTACTGCACGCCAGGAACCATGCTAGGCTCTCCACATAATAATTCCTAATCTTTGCAGAAACCCTGGCATTATTATTATCCCAGTTTCACAGAAGAGGACATTGAGGCTCTAAGAAGTAGCTTGTCCTGGTTGCACAGCCAGCAAGTCAGGTCAGCAGAGGGACACAGTCTGCCAGGCTCTGAAGTCAGGGTGTTTTCCACATCGCTACTTCCCAGTATTACAATTTGCACAAATGGGTTGGGTGAGAACGACTTGGGAGTTTACAAGTTCCCAGTGAGGGTTAAAGAACAAGGAGATTCAGGTTTGAGCAGGACATTTATAAGTTTCATGGGAGAATTACTGGATCTTGCCTCCTAGGATTTCCAGGGTATGGAAAGGAGAAAAGAACTAGGGTGGGAGGTGATTTTGATTAGGGGGTTTCTTTGAGGAAGGGAACTGGCAGAAGGAGTCAGGCCCTGCGGTGGGTCCTAGGCAGCAATCCGGTAGTTGGGGTGGACCTGGGGCCTGACGTCGCAGACCATGCCAAGAAGCTGGGCCAGGACGTGCTCTCGGTTTCTCTGCTGGGAGCTCTGCATGCCCTGCACCTGGCGCCTCGTAGCCTGCTCCACCTCAGCTGACAGGTTCCCCTGGGAGCCCATGGCCTGGGGGGTGGGGAAAAGGACGGAAGAGAGAAAGGAAAAAGCAGAAACAGAAAGACAAAGGTCCAGGCATGTGGAGGGAAAGATCCTGGAGCAAGGCCAAGAAGAAAGGCCCTCTCAGAAACCACTCCCATCCCACAAACATATCCAGGCACCAAAGAGATCAATACAACACCCTTTCCTCTTAGACGTGACATGCAACTTCATCCTAAAACAGACTGTAAAATCCTCCCCCCCATTTCACCACCCATGATTGTAAAACTCTGCCCTCCACCCTAAATGTTATACTTCACAAAGATGGCATCATATCTTACATAGACTGTGGAAACTCCCCCACAAGCTCTACATATCCTTCAAAACTCCCAGCCTCTCTTATATATCATCACAAAGTTTTACCAATGCTGTGGTCCCTGCCAGGGTCCCTCAGCCCTCTACCACCTTATTTTCTTGTTGAGTCACGGATACACCCCTGACTAGATGCACCCACCAACTTGCACCCGGGGTCCCATCCCAACTCCCCCACACTCACCGCCTGCTGCTTGCTCTGGAATTCCTGCTCTCGCTCTCTGCGGTATTGCTCTACCTCCATCTGTGCCTCCTCCTTTGCCTGCTTCAGTCGCCTGGCCTTCCCTGGAGGCAGAAGAGAGGACAGGGGGTGGAGGTGCCCCTCCAAAATGGAATAGTAGGGATCGGTCCTTTCAAGGAAGTTATTCTGCCTTCTCACAGCCAACTAGGTGCTAGATTCTAATACCCACCTATTTCTTGCAGCCCCCAGCTCTCTCCCTCCCCGCCAGCCTTGGGTTTTCTGAAGGACTCAAATGTTTGCTGCCTCCACCCCCAATTTTCTTTCCAGACTCCTAAGGGAGGAAAGAGTAGACTCACTCTTCCTGGCATCTGCCACCTTCTCAGCCGCCCGCTTCTCAGCTTGCAGAAGCTGTTGGATACCCTGGGACTGACTGGCCATTTCTGTCGTTATGGCCGATGCTGTTTCAAATGCTACCAAGGTACCAAATGGCTTTCACCCTTCCCCCACCCCCACTGCCTAGTTCTCCTCCAACTCGTTGCTGCAATCCTCCACTACCCCTGGGTCTTAGTGCTCCCCTCTTCCACTCAGCCTTCTGTACTGGTGTCTCCCCCAATCTGATCCTCCCAGTGATGACTGGTCCTCCTCTCCCACCTTTCACTCAGTACCCACAAGGGCCGCGTGGGGGCAGCAGAGACCAGGCCCAAAGCTGCCCGCTAACAACAGGTGCGAGGCCTTTCCAGTCTCGAAGATCTAGGATTGGGGCAGGGGAGAAGTATTGGGGTGAGAGGAGGGGAGGTTGATTGGTGGTCTCAGAGAAGGACGCATAGGGGTTGAGAATGGGGTGAAAAGGTAAGTACATCATCATACTACGTGTGTTGGGAAAAGAGCATTCTGGGCTTCTTAATTCTCCCATATCTCTCTCTCCCTCTTCTTTAGTTTCCATCTCCATCTTTTTCTACGTTTCCCAAGTCCAAATGTTTGCATCCATCTTATTTGTCCTGTCCTATGATAATCTCCTTATGTCTTTTCATGTCTTCCCCCCACCTCTTTTTTAATCTGTCCCTGTTCTTGGCCTCACTGTGGTTTTTGTTTTTGTTTTCCATTTTCACTCATTTTTATCCTGTCTTCATCTCCCCTATTTTCTCTCTTTCTCATCTTTTTGTCTGCTAAACCAAGTCCTCTCTCCGCCTAGTTGGGGAGACGAGGATAAACTTTCAGAAAGCCCGCCTTTCTCCCTGCCCTCCCCTCGCATCCTTTTCCTCGCCTCTCATCCAGTCTTCCGGTTACAGGCGGACCCTTTATCTTAAGTTCCCCAGTTTTCCTCCGGAGCCTGACCGAGATCCCACCCTGTCGGGGCGGAACGACATCCGGTATCTCTCCTCACAGTTCATTTCCGCCCTTCACCTGCGTCTCTGCTTGCGCCATTTCCGCCAGCCTGGAGTGTCTCCGCCCTTCCCGCCTCCCTTCTCCGAGCGTCTTAAACACAGGCCTCGGGCCTACAGCTCTGGGGGTACTTGGGGAGCAGGGGCAGGTCTGATGAATGACCCCTCCCCCCAGGTCCCCGAGGGAGAAGCCTCTACGTCTGTTTGCCGGGTACATCATATTTAGTTTCTAGATCATTATTTGAAATTATCTGTGACTTTTTAAAACTCAAATTCTGCTGTTAAAAAATTTCCCCATCAGGCCCTGGTTTTTTTTTAAGTTCTTTATTAAAAATTAAAAATTTACCTGGGTTCATGAGCCTTAAAGCAATTATTTATCCTTTTCTCAAATTTTACATTAAAAAATTAAATCTGCGACCCCAGCCTCCCCCTTAAATTTTTTCAAACGTATCATCTGATAAGGGATCAGGATTAGGATAGGCCTCATCTCTCGCTGAAGCTGTAAAAAGAAATGGGGAATCAAAGGGAGGAACAAGTGGGAATGTCAGAGATGGATGGGAAGCACCAGCCAAGGCCAGGGC